TCTCACTTCTATTTTACCTTTCTTTGCATTAAATTCTTTGCATTTACCATGGACACCATGCTCAAAATTTTTGAAATTAATAAATAATTTTAATTCAAATATTTTAAACCAATTTATTTGCGTCTCATACGCATTCTGTGATCATCTTATATATCCTAAAAAAATGTGAATAGCTGTCCTACAATCCAAATTTTTTATATTCACTTTTACAAGCTTACCCTAAATCAAATCCTGAATCACTATTGATCTTTCATGCTAATCTTCCAAAACGTATTACAATATGTTTATCTTATAAAAAACCTACAAGTAGATATAACTTTCCTTTTCTTCATCCCATTCCAAATGAAATTCAAGCCGTACCCTTGAATAATTGAATATTTTTATCTCCTGTATTCATGTATTGTTTTTTAGGAAGAAATTCAGGATATAACACAATATATACAAAATATAAAACTCTAACTGAAACAATGAATTTTTCAAAAAATATGTGTTCTTTGATATTATATTCTGGAATGATCAGTGTCTATCTTGAAGATAATTCAAATAATTCTAATACTTGGCTTAATAATACTTTAATTCATGTCACAAATTGGTTAAAACAAAATAATCCATTTTTAAAAAATTATTCTCGCCTTTTAAATTCACCTAATTCTCAAATTGCCAATTCTTTCCCAAGAGCTTTTCATCTATCTGACGATGATTCTGCCCCACCCTTTTTATCTAATGATATTGTAGTCCTAAATATTAATTTTGTCACTGAAATTCACAATGAAGATTATCATTATTCACATCTAATAGCAGGATTTGTCAGAACTCCAAATAATACTTTGCTACCAATATCCATAAATGATCTAAATTTGGAAGCTTTATTATTTTCCGATTTATTTCCAGATGGAAAAGGACATTATTATCACGATATCCATTCTAGATTAACTTTTGCCTACAAAGAAACCTATTCTAAATATACTAAACTACATTAAATTACCGGATTTTTTTATATATATTAAAATTATATATAAATTACAATTTTAGTTATCAATTAAATATAATTTTTGTGTAATAAATAACCAACAATAAAAATTATGCCAAAATAATTCGCAGATTTTATGTTTATTATAAAATAAAATTTATATTTAAATAGACTAATATTTAATGTGTCTGCCTTTAGCCTTAATTACTGCATTAACACGATTAGATAAGCTTAAAATTAAGTGATGTACCATCTCTATGCTAATTTTTCTCTATTCATCTTGAACTATATTTATTAATTTCTGTTTACATTTAGGTAAAAGCTTTCTTTTTTTAACCTGCTGATCTAAATGATTCCATAGGTTCTCGATCGGGTTAAGATCAGGGCTTTGTGCCACCCAACCTAAGATTGGAATATTATGTATTTTCATCCACCAAATGCTATAATTTGATGTATGATATGAAGCTCTGTCTTGCTGAAAAATAGAGTTAGGATAGTTACTAACCCATGGTATGAAGTGGTTAGCAAGAATATTGATATATGCATCAGAATCCATACTTCCTTCTACTACAACCAAAGGTCCAACTCCATGCCAACCAAAACAACCCTAAAACATCACTGAACCACCATCAAATTTAACTGTAGGTAAAATACAATTTTTATTATAAGCTTCTCTAGGACTTCTCCAAGCTCTTATTCTTCTATCTGATTCAAAAAGAGCAAATCTGGACTCATTAGACCATATTATCTTTTTCCATTCATCACCCCAGTTTCATTTCTCTCTACTCTATTTTAACCTATCCTTTTGCTGTTTTTAGGTTAAAAGGGGTTTCTTACAAGCGACATAACTACCAAGGCCTTCATCATGAAGGTATTTTCTAACAGTATTATTATGCAATGTGGTATCAAGACTAAAGTTTAATCTGCTTGTTATATCACTAAAAGAAGCGAACTGATTATTTCGAATGATACGTTGTAGGGTCCGTTTATCACGTTGATTAAGTATTTTAGGATGACTAGAACGCTTTTCAGGTATTGCAGAACCTGTTTCTTTGTATCTTTTTATAGTATCGTTAACAGTGCTAGTGGGAATACCAAGCTGAGTTGAAATAACCGTTTGCTTGGTACCACTCAGATATGCATTGATAATTCTTTCACATTGAGCTTCAGACAGCTCGTTTCCACGCATTTCTATTTTGAAGAAGATAAAGAATATGTATGTATTATTTTTTTATTATTTTTATGTACATTAGGGAGAAATCGCGAATTTATTACAGATGCGATAAATTACGTGATTATAAATCCGGTAATTTAATGTAGGTTAGTGTATGTCAATAAAAAGATTTTGAGACATTTTTTTTGAGTTTTAAAAATTTTCATGTCAATTAAAAAGAAAGAAAATTGGTAATCTAATACCTAACTTGTTTAATGACAAAAATAAGAATTTTAAAAAGGAATTCCATTCTTATTTAATGAATGATATAGATAAGAATTTTAAAAAGGAATTCAATCTGTTTAGTTCTTATAACTGCAAGATAATGGTTAAACTTGTTTAAATGCATTAGTTAAAAGGAAAATTAGCGGCTAAATTTTATCTAAATGCCGATCTAATCAAACCTAAGTTTAGTTGTATTATCATAGTAATTGCTAATAATTAAAAATAACCTATTATTTATTAAAACTAAGTAACCAAAAAGGAACGAAAATTTTAATAAAAATTAACTAAAAAGTAAATTAAATTGAAAAACTACTCAAATGAAATCAAAAAAAACAAAAAAGTAAAATCAAAAAAAAAAATTAAGGACGAAAATGTTGAATATATAAAATTGAAAATGAAAAAAGAAATAGTAATAAAAGTAATAAAGTAAGAAAATAAATTCAGAAGAATATCTATATACATGAACTTACTGTTTACTAAAACGTCAAACTAAAGCTTTGAAAAAAATCTACAAAAAATGAAATAAAAAATGATTAATGAAATTAAAAAAATAAATAAATAAAACAAAAAAAAACATTTACTTTAGAAAAAATAAAAGTATGTATAGAGCTTGTATGAAAACTCAAATTGGCTATATTTTTCTCTTTAATTCTTATTTAAAGACAGTGAAAATGCTTAAAATAATTATAAAATATAGCAAAAATAATTAAATAATTTAAAATTAATAAATTTAATGCTTCTTTTATTATTAATAGCATTAAAAAAAATAACTTTTCTTATGCGTCAGTTAAAAAGGGGAAAATTTGATGGCTAAATAAATTATCAATGCCGGCCCAATCAGATTTAAGTTTTTTTCTTGTGACTCATCTCCTTATCAAATAATTTTTAATTGATCGACATTATGCATATTTCAGTTTTTTGACATTATCTCGAAAATTTATTATGCTTACTGACTTATCAAATTAAGTAAAAATAAGCATATTATTAATTTATATTATATGAACCTAAAATCTCAAAATTGATTGAAAGGTGAATTTTCTCTTTTTAATTGACGCACGCCTATATAGTAGCTAACTAAACAGATATTCAAAATTTTAAAGCACTCTACAAGATCTTACTGATATGTCTGCTATTAATAATAGATTAGTAAACTTAACTTCATAATTACAAGCTAATATAAATGCTATTATAATAAATTTACTATATAAAAAACAAAGGTGGTTAACCTATCATACTTTTATGAAGGAAATTAGAATCTTATAGGATAGTTCATTTAGAGCTCTAAATCAGTTGAGTTAACTCAGTTAACTTATGAGTAAAAATAGTTAAATTGAGCTTAAATTGAGTTGAGTCACAATTTTTCTGACTCATTTGACTTGAGTTAAATTATTAGTTGAATCAAGTTAATAAATTGACTTGATTCATTTTAACTCTAGTTGACTTAGTTGACTCATAAATATATATATTATGGTAATTGTTTACCAAAATATAATATAAAATTTAAAAGATTTAATACAAAATGTAAGTACATAATTACATCATCACGTGATTTATGATTTTACCAGAATTAAGAATTTAAGTTAAATTTTTATGATTTTTAATTTAATACAAAATTTTAATATATAATAATAAATTCTTATACTAATTAATATTGTAGAAAGTTACTAGTTATAAGCCTTATTTAATTAATACAATTTTGTAATATTTTAAATTATTGATAATTTTGCTAAAAATTTAAAATAATAGCAAATCTAGCTTAATAAAATAGTTTTATGTATTAATTAAAGAAGTTTGCTATTTATTACTGATGGTAAACCAATAGTAATTGAAGGTTTTATTACCTCATGTCATCAGTAGAGTGAAACAAATATTGAAAAAATTCTAAGTCCTTAGAATATATAATAAAAATGAAAACAGAAGGATAATAAATAACAATTAGAGCTCCGAATCAGGTCAGGTCAACCTGTGACCCGACCCGACCCGACCTGAAAAATCCAGGTCAGGTAGACAA